CCACGTGAGTCATGGGCCGGCCCTCTTTTTTTTTTTATTAAGTACATTCTAAGATATTGTCAGGGGGAGGGGGGAAGGGAGAACAAGTCTGGCTCACGCAGGCTCCATTGCTGGCGTGGTTGGGGTGGGGGGTGGGGCTGAGACCCTCCACCCACTGTCTCAGGACCCACACCCCAATTTTCAATAGAAGTCCAAAACCTAGATTTTCATGAGAAATGTCCCAATTTTTAATTACATTTTCCAATTGCTCCTGGTATATAGGAACACAGTAAATTTTTATATATTGATCTTGCTATTATTTCAGTATCCTTGCTGTTATCTCATCCTTTCTAATCCTTATACCATTTATTTCTTTTTCCTGCCTTATTGCTCTGGCCAGGCCTTCAGCATAATATTGGAATCATGACAGCAGGCATCCTTATCTTATTCTGAAACAGAAGGAATACATCTCATGTTTCACCACTGCAGTACATTTTAAATTTCATTATTTTTAGACTGGCCAGTTAGCTCAGTTGGTTAGAGTGCAATGTTATAACACCTAGGTCAAGGGTTTGAATCACAGAACTGGCCAGGCACCAAAAAAAAAAAAAAAAAAATTATTATTTTTAAATGTTTGCTCATTTTTTCAAACATCGTAAATGCTAACAGTCTATCTGGATTCAACCCATGTGCTGCCAATCTGTGATCTCCACTTTACCTGAATTATTTCCCTGAATTCTGACAATCACCTAATCAGGTAGGTACTATTATTCTTCCCATTGATGTGAGGAAACTGAGGTTCAGAGAGATGAAGTGACTTGCCAAAGTCACACAGCTGGGAAGGGGGAGAGCCAAGATTCAAACCCAGCTCTGCCTGATGCCAAAGTCTTTGATCTTTCTATGGGTAGAATGGGATCCTGGATGCCCAGGCCAGCCCCTCTTTATGCTACACCCTGTCCAACATGTCGGGGCTCTATGAGGGGTCCTGGGGCCCTGGAGCAGCTCTGTCCCCAACTCTCCGTGACCCTTGGCCAAGGGCCTTCTCCTCTCTGGGCCTCAGCCTCTCTATCTGCTAGCCTTGAAATGACTCAGCTGGGAGATCCAGGCAGTTCAACTCTGCATCTGTTAAACATTAGACCTGATCTTGGTATGTCCCTTATTCTGTGGTCTTGCTCTGCCACTTACCTGCCATATGACTTTGGGCCACTTAACCTTCATGTGCCTCTTGCCTCATCTCAGTGGCAAAATGGGATCAAAAGTAGCACCCACATCCAAGTGCTTGGGACATGCCAGGCATGCAATAAGTGCCTTATAAATGTTAGTTCTCATGCTTTTCTTTTTTCTGGTGGCTGGCCAGTATGGGGATCCAAACCCTTGGCCTTATTGTTGTAACACTGTGCTCTAAACACCTGAGCTAACCAGCCAGCCCCTAGTTCTCATAATTATTGGGTGTGTTAGTCTGTTTCGTACTGCTATAACAGAATATCTGAGACTGGGTAATTTACAAAGAACAGAAATGTACTGCTTCACTGTTTGGGAGGCTGGGAAGTCCCAGATTGAGGGGCAGCATCTGTTGAGGGCCTTCTTACTGTGTGGTAACATGGTGGAAGGCATCACATGGTGAGAGAGAACAAGAGAAGACCAAACTTGCTTTATTTTTTAATTTTCATTTCCATTTTTTTCTTTCTTTTCTTTTTATTCTTTGAACTCACTTTTATAACAAACCTACTCCCAAGATAATGACATTAATCCATCCATGTGGGCAGAACCCTCATGACCTAATCACCTCTTAAAGGTCCCACCTTTCAACACTGTTACATTGGGATTAAGTTTCCAACACATGAACTTTGGGGGACACATTCAAACCACAGCATTGGAAAAATTGTATGCATGTGTACACTGACAGGAAGAAGCAATGGAAATACAACTTAAATAATTGTATTAGGATAAAGATGTGGTTTTTAAAATTTCCTTTAATATCATTATTATAATTTTAAAAAATGTTTACTGCCTCCCATGACCCCTCCATCAGGTAGAGAATAAAGTCCAGATTCCTTAACCCAACACTGAAGCCTCTCTCTGATTCAACACCAACTCATATTTCAACTGAGCAAAGTGCTGAGAGCATGTGGAAGACCACACTGGCTTGGATCCCAGCTCTTTGCTTACTGGCTGCCTGAGCTTGGGCAGGGAAATTTGCCTCTCTGTGCCTGTTCCTCAACTGTAAAATAAGGAAAGTAATAGCATTCACTTGGTAGGTTAAGGGGATGTAATATAAATAGCTTGGTACAGTGTCCATCACGTAGAGGCTTGAAGTGTTAGTGATTTTCATTGTCTGCCTGCTCCTCTGAACTCTCTGGTTACCCTGGACCATTCACCAGCCCTGGAGCACGACTACACTGTCACACCTCAAGGTCTTTGCTTATGCCTTGCCCTTACCTAGCATGCCTTCCCTGTCTATCCATCCATCAAAGCACTCAGTGCCGATACCCGCTCAAATGTCATCCTCTCTGACACTTCCTGTCCCCACCAGTTCCTCCTCCGGCCTTTTTGCAGGCTGGAACACTTACAGCCCTCACCTCCATCAACTTTGTCCCTCCCGCCACATCAAACCCTCCCTGAGGACATGGAAAGTTGGGCTTGGCTCTGAGCTCCAGCCGTGGGTCCCAACACAGACATCTGAGGAAACTCAGTCATCACTGAATCAGACAGCTCCATTGTGTCTTGCCCCATCCCCTCTCCAAGCCTCCATCTCCTCTCCTGTAGTGGAGGCAATGTTGCCCAGAGGGGTGGCTGTGATGATAAGTGGGGAAATGCTGGTCAAGCCTCTCTTCCCCTTCCTGCCTCCCGATGAGCCTGGCTCACCTTCCGCCTGGACTAGCTGGGGAGGAGAAGGGGAATCCTGGAGGTGGGGGTACTCATGGCCATCCACAGGCCAGCCCAAGATGGCTCTGGTCAGAGCATCTGATTCCCAAGGGTTGGGGGTGAGGCCCAGGATCTTGAATTTTTACGAGTCAGTAGAAACCCCTTCCCCTGGGTGTCTCCATGGGGCATATTCCGTAAATACCTTTCTGAGAGCTCCTTCCTTCAGGACCTCTCCCTGGCTTCTGTGTGTCAGGAGCTGCAGGACCCCTCAGCCCCCACACACTTTAGAGGGGAGTGCTGCCACCTCGGGGCTAAGAAAAAAAACTGCCAAAATTTGGGCCTGAGCCATTTGGACACACACAGTGATTAAAAACATTGACTGAGGGCCGGCCTGTGGCTCACTCGGGAGAGTGCAGTGCTGATAACACCAAGGCCACGGGTTCGGATCCCATATAGGGATGGCCAGTTTGCTCACTGGGTGAGCGTGGTGCCGACAACACCAAGTCAAGGGTTGAGATCCCCTTACCGGTCATCTTTTTTAAAAAAAAAAAAAAACATTGACTGAGCACTTTCTGAGCCCCAGGCACCATGCCGAGTTCTTTGCACCTTTCCCTCATACTGGATCCCCATGTCAACCCTATGAGGTAGTACTATTGTAAGTCCCATTGTAGACTCGAGGAACACAGGCTCAGAGACGTGACATGACTTGCCCAAGGTCACACAGCAAGTGCATGGCAACTCTTGGGTTTGAAGCCAGATCTGGCTCATAATTGCACTCTAACCACAACACTGAGTGCCTCCTAAATGCCTACATCACAGTGTTGTCTGAGGACACTGTGAGGTACTGTATGTGAAAAGGTCCATAGATAAGGACTCTGACCATGTCAAGCTTCCTGAAGAGAAGCTTGACGAGAGGCTACCCTGAGGTGGCCGAGTGGGGGTAGGCAGGAGGATGGTGCGGATCCAACCCCCAGCCTAGCCCAGCCAGATGCTGGACTGTTCAAGCTCCAGCCATCTCTCTTGCCATCACTCTGCCCAGAAGCCGTAGGCAACCCTGCCCCAGATCCTAGAATGTTACAGGGCTTTCCAGCAGGATAGGGGTCACAGGAAGGCAGCCACAGGCTGGGGTTTTTAAATGACATTCAAAAGGATTTCTACCAATGGCTCTCTTCCACTGGGAAGGATGTCTAGTCTGCCCCCAGAGGCTCCAGACCCAAAGATGAGCACCAGGCTGGTCCTTGCAGCAAATGCCACAGGCCATCACTCTGAGGCCTGGATGTAGACAGGCACGGCGAGCATGGCACAAGGGCCCTCGGCCCCAGCCTGCAGCTCTGCCAATGCTAGGTTGGAGCCCAGTGCCTCGGCATGCCCAGGCACCACCAGCTCAGGCTCCCCACCCACCGAGCCACCCACCACGATGGACAGCACAGCATCGGGCTCCGCAAAGGGTGGCTTGCTTGGGGCGGCCTCGGCCACTGGCCCAGCCCCTGAGTCCTTCAACTCCTCCAGCCCCAGCGGGTCGGACAGGGGGGTCACCACCTTGTGCCCACCACTGCTGCCACTGCGGGGGGCTGCCCTCCTCCGGGGGGGGCGCCGGGTTTGCAGGTCCTTGTCCTTTTGGGGACCGAGGCGGCAGCGGTGATCCTTGAGGTATTTGTGGCGGGAAAAGCCCTTGGCACAACCAGCACAGCGGAACTTGTAGTTGCCCGTGTGGGCACGCTGGTGCTCGGCGAGGTGGGCGCGGCGGCTGAAGGACTTGCTGCACAGGGCACATTTGTGGAGCTTCATGCCTGGGGAGCAAGGGGAAGTCAGTGAGAGGCACCCAGAGCCTCACCCTGCAGCAGTGACCTGCACTGGGAATAAAACCCAGGCTCTGGGCTTGCCCCAGAAGCACCAGTGTGATCTGGCCTGGCTCCCTCCACTCTCCACTCTTCCCTTGTCCCAGCCACTCATGCGTGCCAGCCACACACGCTCTCCTCAAAGGCACCAAGCTGCCAACTGCCTCTGGGCCTTTGCATGTGCTGTCTCCCTCTGCCTGGAACAGCCCCCTCAAACCTGGCCAACTTTGCCAGGTCACCATCACCTCTCATCTGGATGACCAGAGCAGCTACCTCCTCTTGGGTCTGCCTGCCTTACCCAGGACCCTTCAGACCACTCCCCACGGGGCAGCTAGAGATGTTTTTGTAAAACACACAGATGACTGTGACATTCCAAGCTCCAAAGCCCCCTCGGGCTCCCCTAGTTTCCCGTGAAGCATGGTGCTGACCCCCCTTTTCACCTCTCAGCCCCATCTTCTCTCTCTCCCCTGAGTTCCCTGTGCACCAGGCCTCAAACCCACCTCTCCTTGTCAGACACCTCCCAGTCCCCTCCTGCCTCAAGGCTAGCACTGGCTGCTCCCTCTGCCTGGAAAGCTATTTCCTCATTCTTCTTATCCCTCAGGACTCGGCTCTCCTGTCACCTGCTCAAGGGGGCCCTCCCTGATACCCACACCCTTCATTCTCTGCCCCTTACCCTGTTTATTTCCATCTTTGCACTCAGCATACTTTGCTGCTATGTACTTATTTGTTCATTGTTTATTCCAGTCCCCCACTAAATGCTAAGCTCCCCAAGAGGGCAGGATAGGATTCTGCCTGTCTCACTCCCCCCACAGCACACTCACAGCCTGACATAGTCTGTTCTCACAAGAGTCACTCACTGAACGAATCACTGGTGCCTCCAAGTCCACCATGAAGTCAACTCCAGCCCACACTCACCCTGAGCCAAGCACCTTTCACAAATGTCTTCAGCGCTCTCTGCTTCCTTAACATGAAGGCTCAGAGAGGGGCAGTGACTTGCCTGAGGCCACCCAGCAGGAAAGTGGCAGCACCAAGACTCAAACCCAGACTCTGTGTCTCCAAGTCCTTGATCTACTCTCCCCGTTTTCAAACTTTCTTTGGCCACTGAATCCTTTCTGTAAATCAGTTGTTCTCAAATAAGGGTAATTTTACCCTCTGGGGGGCCTTTGGCAATGCCTGGAGACATTTTTGGTTGTCACCACTCAGGGGATGCAACCAACACCTAGTGGGTAGAGGCTAGGACGCTGCTAAACATCCTGCAGGGTGCAGGACAGCCCCCACGGCAAAGAATTATCCAGCCCAAAATGTCAATGGTGCCAAGATTGAAAAACCCTGTTCTAGACCAAATAATATGTAGAAACCCAACCAAGCTGTTCTGGAGGGCCCCTGGGAAACTGAGGCATGGTTTGGAGACCTCTGCCCTGCTCTACCACAGAAGCTTTATGGCCATATCTTGTACCCATTGGAATCTGGTTTCCCTCCTCACCGGATGCACACCTGAGCCACACCTGGTCCACACCTATATCACCCTGGGCACCACTTTAATTTACAGTTCTCTCCCCTCAGGTCAGCTTCCCCTCAGACTGGGGCACTGTGTTGGATCCGTCTCTGCACACCCTAAGGTCCCCATCGCAGGTCTGGTTGATAGCCCACATGAGTGAAAGTCCCCTGGCTGGAATGTACCAGGCAGGGACAATAAGCCTCATACGATGTGTCTGCTCTTTCTCTTCCTGGGTCCATCCCAGGGAGCTGAGCTGAAGCAGACCCTCCTGGCAGGCCCATGCATCCCTTACCAGAGTGGGAGAGGATGTGAGCCTTCAGCTTGTCCGGCCGATTGAACTCCTTACTGCAGCCCGTGTGTGTCCTAAAACCCAGAGCCACTGGTCAGAGGGAGCTCCCCATGTTGAGGGCCCCTCTTGCTGGCCCCTCCACTAGCCCTGGGCACGAGGGACGCCTTGTCCATCCTAAGCAGGATGGGAAGTGAGGCAGGCAGGGTAAAGGAGAAAGGCCTTCCGCCCTCAGCCTGACATTCTGTCCCACCCTTCCAGCAGCCCCCTGGGGGAATCTGCCCACCACCCACGCCTCCCGCCTGCATGGCAGTCTCTACTCACGAGAAGGGGCATTTGTATTTCTTGAAGGGCTCATGGATCAACATGTGTCTCTTCAGTTTGTCCTTGCGGTTGAATGCAGACTCGCACACTGAGCATTTGTAGGGCTTCTCACCTGCAGGAGACAGACAGGGAGAGTGAGGGCCCCATAAGAAGGAATATAAAAGGGGGCACAGGGGTCCCCACTGGGCCCCTCAGGGCAGCAGCTCCTTCAAGGAGGTGGCCAGGGGAAAAATGGCCCGTCTCATTCCTCATGACTTTGTTTTGCCAGGGAGAAGAGGGGGCTACTTTAGACAGGGGGCTCAGAGAGGCCTCTCTGATGAGGTGAGAGCTGAGGTGGTAAGAGGGCAGGCCGTGTGGAACTCTGGACAGGGTCCCAGGCAGAAGGGAAAGCAAGTGCCAAGGCTCCGAGGTAGGAGCACATTTGGTGTGTCTGAGGAACGATGGGGAGGCCAGTGTGGCTGGAACAGAGGGCGTAGAGGGAGAAAGAGGCAGGAGGCAAGGTTAGCCAGGCAGCCGGGCCTGACTGGGAAGACCCGGAAGGTAAAGGCAAAGAAGTTGGCCTTAACTCTGAGCCAGATGAGAAGCCCCCAGAGGGTCTGAGCAAAGGGGTTCAGGACCTGACTTGAGATTTTAACAGGCTTCCTCTGGGTGTGGAGAACAGTCTGAGGGGGTAAAGGGGGAGTCAGGAAGGAGGCTGGTGCAATGAACAGGAAGTGGTCAAGGGCACGCTATGTTGAGAAAGTAGAATGGGCAGCCCTTGCCAGAGGATTGCCCATGGGGGGTGAGAGGAAGGGAGGAACCAGGACGGGTTTCAAGTGTGGCCTGGGCAGCAGGGTCCACCACAGGGGAGGGGGAACCACACCTCACCAAAGTGAATCCTTGCAGCAAACCATGAAGTAAGTACTGCCGCTATGCCCGTTTTATAGATAAGACTGAAGTGACTTGCTCATGGTCTATACCTAGTGGTTGGGGGAGCTAAGATTCCAGCACAGCAGTGTGATCCAGAGCCCACTTGAGCTACCCCGAATCTTCCTGCTGCTTAGCCCATCGTGGGGTTGCAGGGGAGGGCAGCTCTCACCTGATGGGTGTCAGGTCACCCAAGACCACAGGAAAAGAAGGGAGGTGCCTACAAAGCTCCTGTGGGGTCACAACCTGCCCTTTAAAAAGGGGCCGTTCCTGGCTGTTTGATTTCCTGCCATGATTTCCTCTCTGTTCTCCCTCTGGAATGAATAAGATACTTTTGAAAAATGCCAACTCAGTTGATTACGGAAATTCTGGTCATTACAATGGAATGCTCTGCAGTCATTAAAAAGATTAAATTGATCTGTGTTTCCAGATCTGGAAAGATCTCCTGGACATATTGCAGTGGAAAAGAAAGCTGTAGAACAGCCTAACACAGTCACATTTTTGTGAGAAAATAATATAATCCCCAACCCCGAGAAAAGCCCCAGCCATGTGTTTGTATACACACCGATGATGCAGTAGCAATTGGCATTTGAAGGGGAATTTCACATTTTACTTTACGTACTTCTATAGTGCTTCCTTCCATTTGTGTAATACACACGTTACTGGGTTTTTTGGCAGCTGGCCCATACAGGGATCCAAACCCTGTGACTTTGATGTTACTGACACCATATTACTTTTGAATACTAAAAAATTTTAAAACCGTAAAGAGAGTAATTTGATAATATCTATCAAAATTGCAATTCATATACTTCTTTTTTTTAATTGGGGTAAAATATATATAATATAAAACTTACCATTTTAACTCTCTTTAAGTGTACAGTTCTGTGGCATTAAGTACATTTGCACTGTTGTGCAACCATCACCACCATCAATCTCCAGAACTTTTCACCATTCCAAATTGAAACTCAGTACTGCATTTTAACCTAGGATTTGCACTGCTAGGAATATACACTACAGATACACTCCGAAAAGCTTGCCAAGGGATCCACACAGCATTGTGTGTACTACTAACAGCTGAAAAATAATTTAAGGGTCCAACTGTAGGGAACTGGCTAGATATAAGATGCTAAATCCACAGAGGAATACTACGCAGCTATGAAAAAGAAGATACTGTCAGGGAACATCTTCAAGGTAAATTGATAACAAAAAAAGGCACATAACAGAGTTATATTATGTGCTCATTTGTGTAAAAGTAAGAAGGTGTGTTGTACACATGTAAAATAAAACTAGAATAACCTAGACTAGACCATTAATAGCAGTTACCTTTGGGGAAGGGAATTAGAAGTATTTTGGGCCGGCCCGTGGCTCACTCGGGAGAGTGCGGTGCTGATAACACCAAGGCCCCGGGTTCGGATCCCATATAGGGATGGCCGGTTCGCTCACTGGCTGAGCGTGGTGCTGACAACACCAAGTCAAGGGTTAAGATCCCCTTACCAGTCATCCTTTAAAAAAAAAAAAAAAAAAAGAAGTATTTTGCAAAATGTAAGTCACAACCTGTTGGTGGCTACTTTAAAAACTAACATTGAACAGGACAGAATAGAAAATATTGCTTTCTGAAAGTTTTGCTTCAATATTATATGGGTATACATATATGTTTTCTGGGTTGCAATATAAAATGTATTTTTTACCATAGGTCATAGTAAAAAAAAAAATTGAAAAACACTGGATTGTCCATCCGAGGTGAGACGAGGTTTCATTTTCATTATACATGCTTTTGTACTGTCAAGGATTTTCTCCTTAGGTTTTCTCAATCTTTAAATCCTTTTCAATTAAAAAATATTTAATTAAATTTTTTAACGAATTAAAAAACATTTAAAGATGAAAAGAAAAGAAAATGTCAATGTGTATTAACTAGGGAACCAAGGAGAAGGGGGTTTGTCCAGCTTTGGGTGGGAATTTTGCAGTGAGACAGCGCCCTCACCCCCAGGGGCCCAGAGTGGTCTGAGGGGACTGACTCTCAAGGGGCACAGCCCTCACAGCCTCCAGGGGGTCATCTCTGCTCTAGTATTAGTGGGAGCCCCTTGTTCATGAGTGGGGGCAGGCAGCAGGGGGCTGGGAAGGAGATGGAAAGGGGGATGTAGCAAGGCAAGTGGGGAGAGAAAGAGGAGGAAGGAGGGGGAAGGGGAGGACGACCAGATAGGGATGGGGAGGAGGGCTGGAGGGGGTGG